TACTTGTTTAACTCAACATAAAATGATTAACTTCATTTGAAGAAAATAATGAATGAAGTAAAAAGTAGATCGGCTAAGTATGAACTCCTTTGATTAATGAGATCGATATACAATTACTTACACAATGGATAAAGTGATTGTTATATCTACTTAACTATGAATAAATAATTCTTATCACTTTTTTTTATAAACCTTTCTACTCATTTTCAACCACACATTATAAACCACATATCTCTATTATGTTCCTATATACGTTCTAGAGTCAAAAAGGGATGTGAGAGAAATATTAGAGGGCTGGAAAATATATATATCAGAAACAAATAATTAAAAAAACATGAGGGGATATGAATTTATTTTTTTAGAGAGCAATATATGGAGATTTTTGTTCTACATAATTAGTTAACAATAATGGAGTGAATTATAATAGAGATTTTAGTAGAACAACAAATGATACGACCAAATCTCCATGAATATTATTGGCGGTTTTTCTAACGTTGATAAAAGAGAATGAAGAACTTCCCTTGAAGTGATTAAACACTTATTGAGAAGAAAAGAACTTGAAAGTACGAGGATGAAAATGAAAAGATTGAAAAGAGAAAGAATGACTTCTTTTATTGAATGAATTGATTGAATTACAAAGAGTTAAGCTTGATCATTTATAGTGATTAACAAGCTAACAAACTAACTAACTTAACTAAATTTACAATGGCAAAAACGTAAATTATGAAGTAGGTAACTTGGTTGCTTAAGCCGTAAGCAAACCAGACTGGTGCAGGACTTGGTGAGGCTGGGCCTAGTCACTGGCCTAGAAGTGTCTCGGTCAGGATGCAGGTTGGTGAGGCTGGGCCTAGTCACTGACCTAGAAGTGTCTCGGTCAGGATTTGCATTGGCTAGGCATGTGGCCTGGTCAGGCTTGGCCACGATGGAGCAGATGACCTGGTGACTCTCGGTCACGACCAAGCTGTTGACTTTGATTCTCTCGGTCACGTCCCTGCTGCTGGCCTTGGCTGGCTCGGTCACGACCCTGCTGCTGGCCTTGGCTGGCTCGGTCACGACCCTGCTGCTGGCCTTGGCTGGCTCGGTCACGACCTTGCTGCTGGCCTTGGCTGGCTCGGTCACGACCCTGCTGCTGGCCTTGGCTGGCTTGGTCATTTGGCTTATGTTGCAACTTGATAGGGCTTTCACTTGAGGAGTAGAATTCTCAGCTAATAGTTGAAAACAAGAAATAATGAATGATAGAACTTTGCAGCATACACAAATTAGTAACCAAAATAATATGAAACAATATAAAGATGGAGAAGGAACCAGAATCACATAGAATTGGTATGCAAAGGAGGATCGCCACAATAGTAAATAAGCTCTTGATAAGATGGATAATGAAGTAAAGTCACAATAGTAAATAAGATGGATAGTGAAGGAATTAAGGAATGAAACAAAGTTTGAGTGTAATCTGCAACAAATTTAAAGGATAAAGAAGAGAGTTATAAGATGGTTAGATAATTATTGTGAACGAAGAGGTGCAACAAAGAAGATTAAGAGTTTAAGTTTCAATCACAATAAATAATAACATAATAATAACGTTTGAAATTGAGAGCCATACACAACTCTCCTAATTGAGGACAAACCTCTATTTTTCTACAAGTAAAAGATTTTGTTAAAGAAATTAATAAAGGTACACAAAAGAATTTCAATTATGTACATATTTTTTAACTGTGGTTATACATATAAGTAAAACCTAACCAGCCTTATTATTTCAAGGGAGATGATTCACTTATTCTAAGGGTAAAAATTTTAAACTTATCTTATATTTTAGTCATCAATTTTAGGGAAATCTAATGATTTAGATATACTCACTAATTCAAACAATTGGATTTCCCTAGAATTGATGACTAAGATGTGAAGTAAGTATCTCCCCTCTTATTTTAAATATAGTCAAAGTATAAATAAATTAAAATAAAACTTATGAGGCAAGAAATCATTATACATTTAAAATTTTAGACATATAGAATCAATTTGCGAAATATTTAAAATTAGCTTAATTTTTAAACAAGGTGTTGCATGTTACCTTGAAACTCAAAACTATAATTGACATAAATTTCCATTAAATTGTGAAACTTTGCAAAATCATTAAATTGAACTTATAAATGTAGATATTGTAAAACATCAATACAAATGAATCATTCAAAAATATTTCTCATAAAACTCATTAAAGTATAGTCTCGCTTATCTCTTGTGTGAAATGGCTTTTGCTGGCGTAAGACTGACGTGCATGAGATGTCAGAATCAGACGGACAGCGGTAATAACTTGATTAAATATCTTGATCATAAATTGATAATCTAGTTAGGATCATTATATATGCCACAACTTGTAATTAGAAGTTAGAAAAATATATTAAATCTTAATTTAAATCTATTTTTCAATCAATCATAACCGAGTAACACATTAAATGATATACATTTTAAGACATATGATGCTCTACTTTGGATTAGTTTAATACTTCAAATTTAAAAACATAATCATACATAATTAATTAAACAATCATAAAAAAAAAGTTTCACAACCACAAATATTATAAATAAGTTGAAAAAAATCATCAATCAACCTAGATTTTACGCTTTAATTGCAATAGAAGCGCACAAATAAGTTTAAACTTTGATTAAACAATTAAGATTTTGCTAGAACATAAACTAACAAATAACAAATATAACTACAAATAAATTCAAATTAAACCACGTTTTTCTTCTCAAAAAATGTCGTTTTGGTTATTTTTAAATATTATTTTTTGGTTGACTTGGTCGATCCAACTGGTTCAACCATCCGAGCTACCAGTTTTAAACTTAAACCGGGTTAAATCGAATCATTATAATTTTGATGCAAAATTAGATTCTGACCGCTTAAATGTGTGATTTATCTTGTTTTTATATATAGGAGTGAAGCGAATATCAGTTATCCCAAAATGATTATGTTCTCATATCCTAAGTCAATCAACTTTCTCAGAGTAATTTAAAAATATTATTTTGTATATTTATAGTATTTATTTTTAACAAAGTGACACTTTTTTATTGGCTCAAGAGAAGAATTAGGACAAATAATCTCTCTTCATTGCAGTGAGTATACTGAAAACTCCTTGGATTTTTAAGTGATATATCTATTTTTAAAAGTAATGCTTTTCCTTTTTTTTAGGATTAAGCCCTAAGTAAATAGTAGAAAGGGCATGCAGTGGCAAACATGCATCATTTCCTTTCACCACTGCTTATAGGTGGCCATTATGGCATTTGAACTAGCCCCTATTGATCCACATTCCTCCTTAACTTACTTTGCTCATTTTTCTTTGCAATGCTTTTAGGTTTGCAGCCATATAATGTTATATAATATAGTTGATAAACTTGCCAAAATTATTTAATTATGCTTGAGCTTAAAGTACTAACAACATGTACAAGTAGATAAAGAGAATTGAGGGTAGTTATATTACAGAGTAGGTGCGATCATAAAGTATCGTATATATTTCTTTTTGTACCGTTGTACGTGTAGAACGATTTAATTTCTTTGTCAAGAATGGCTGATTATTTGTTATTACAAATTAATTATAGTTCCAGCATGTGATCCATATATCAGTACATAATTTTCACAATAATATAAGAAAGTGTCCTATTCAGGGATATTATAATCTAATCTGCAAAGTATATAGATATAGAATGTTTTTGCTCCTGTGCTTTTTTCCCATTCATTTTGGAGAACCTAAAAGCTAAATTAACCTAACATATCTAAAACATTAAGATATGAAGTTAATATATATCCATTCCATTATATAAAACACATTTTTTTCATTCTAATATGAAAAAAAAAAAATTATAAATGCATGTCACTTTCATCATTAATAATAAATATATTTATTACTTATGCATTTTTTGGATTGGATTTTCTATTAAAGATTAACTACTATACGCTGTAAGTGTAAGGATATATAAGATCAATATAATTCATTTTTTTGACGTATCATGATGATTAAATATGAATGATAAATAATACATGCATACATTTTTTCTATTTTTAATATACCAAATAACTGAACAATCACAGCATTTTGTAGTCATTTTCTGTTGTGAACATTTATTTCCTTAATCTTTCTTTTATGAAAAATTCTTTTGTAAACCAAGTTTATGTTAGATAACAATGGTAATGAACATGTGTTGATTGTGAATGTGAATGATGTCCTCGTGTAAGGAATGATTACCCCACGATCCCTCTGAGTGGGTTTGCAATTCTTGTTCGTATCCTGTCTCTGGGTTTCTCACTCTCTTTATCGGAGACAACTCGTGCCATAACGTCCTACACTAATAAGCACCTCTTGTGACTACACACTGCCAATGCTGTCATTTATGCTTACTACTATATCTATTATTATCTCTGTACATACATACATTCATTATTATTATTCTTCATATTTCTAAATATTCCAATTCAGATCAATGTCCTCGTCGTTTTGTAAACTTTAGACCATCAAGTCTTTAATTAATGATTGCCATTTTTATTTTATTGGAATCTATATTACTTCTGTTTCTGATTCCATATCTTGAAATAAAAATGATGAACTTGGAAGCAGGAGAATCAATCCATATATTCATTGAAACAGGGAAGGACCTATAATAATAATAATAATACAAGACATAAACTATGGACGTCCATTGTGCAAAAGCAGCATTTTCTTTTAAATTTCCACCCGTTATTTTAGGAATGAAGATTTGCTATCATTTTTGGTGTCTCAAACTAATTAAAATATATCATTTAATTTAAAAAATTATAAAAATATATAATAATATTTTATATTATTTGATGTAATTTTATTGGAGGGGAAATAAAGACAAAGTTCATTTAGGACTTTATTCTTATTTTAGATCAAAATGTTTCATTTATATTTCAAACTTATACCTTTCATATTTTTTAGGAATATCAAGTATATACATATATTAATTTATATTTTTATAATTTAATGCAACTTTTTAATTAAACGGGTACACTAAATAAGATAGTTTGACAAGGACAAGGATCATCCGTCCTGTCCCGCTCCATATACCAAGTCAATCACAATGCAGCTGCATGGATAAAATAAAAAGTTAAAAAAAAGTAAAATTTTGATTGGTCGAAACAGGAAGTGAGGCGGAGAATATGACATGCGATCTTTGTCAGTTTTTGACAATTAAGACCTTATTTTAACGCATGGAAAAGTGATGGAACTTTAACAACTAGAGCGCACTAATTCCATTACACTTACACTGGTTAATGTTGGCAACTTGGCACACTGCAACACACAAGAAGTGTAATATTTGGGGCGTGCACGCTTGTCAGCCTAACAAGAGCTTCAGAAAAACCACCATCACCTGCACCTAATTAATAAAGCATGCAGTAACACTGTGTCTTAACCCTACCTGCATCTACAACTTTTGTATCCTTCCAAATAGTTCTAATTGAACAGTCATTTTCAGACACTTAGAGGACTATGATTCGTTGATGTGATACTTTATTCTTTTTTACCAGAGAATGTGCAGACATAAGTTGAATACTTCAGCTTCTTTGTGACCTCTTTCAACTTTGTAAACTAGCAGCTACCTACTACCTGCAACTACATAACATCAAAGATACATGGATCATTACCCTAAATCAGTTTTGTCCACAATTCTTTTCAAGTTTTTTCCTTCATTAACTATTTTTCATAGAGGGATCAAATTCTTAAAATTATATTTTAATAAGCTTAGTCATTTATCAAGCTTATAAATATATTAAGAAAATCTAGAGATTTTTATTTGTACCGTGAAAAAGTCTAAAGACACTGACCTTTAACCAAAAAAAATTGAATCCAGCTAATTACCTTCTTTTTTTACTAGAGTCCCTTATCATCACCACCAAACTCCATCGATCAAAGTCCTCAAACAATCACTTTAAAACTCGAACACTGGAGAAGGGGAAGAGAAATCACGAACATCAGAATAATCGTTATCCCTTATATGGTAGACATCACAGTTCGTTAAATCGCACTGCCCCCATGCATATTTCTGATCACCACACTGAAATCCGATATCACCCCTAAAATCGCTATCATTACCTTAATCTCTAAAATGTGTAAAGGCTTCTAATCTATAAGAAATAACAAAACTTTAATCTACTCTCTAAGCTTTCCCTTCTATAAATTTAAGAAAGTCAAACTTAAATATTATTCAATTCAAATAATTTATTTTATAGGTACAAATCATTATTTATGTAAAGATAATAAAATGTCATGCAAACAATAATAACTAACAAGATAAATATAAATTATAGATAAGTTCAAATAAAATTAAGATAATTAAATCATAAATAAGATAATACTATATCAACCCAAATATATCTAACATGTCTCATCAAGTTAAAATTTAATAAGCTTGTTATAAATAATTCATTTCAAAATAAAAATAATCAAATAATTATACGTGATTCATACAAAAATTGTTAAAAGGTATTGTGAACTACAAGATCTAATCTTCCGATAAAATCAACATCTGAATGTTCATTGATGTGAAAAGAAGTCATTGCTCATATAACTCATCATCGAGACAAAAGGGACAACAAAAATGACCGTTACTGGGAAAAAACTATTAAAATTATCATTGGAATGATCGTCGATGAGAAAATAAGTCTCTACTAACATAACTCATCAATGAGGAAAAAAATTACTCTACCAAAATGAACGTCAGTGAGAATAAAACACATTGATATAATCACCATCTGAATGATCACCGATTAAAAAAGAAGTCACTACTAATAAAATTCAACAATTGTAGAATAAACACTACCAAAATGACCATCTTTGTGAAGATTACCATATATATATATACATATATATAAATAAAGGAGAATGTGAATTGTTGTATTATTTATTTGGTTTATTGTTGCATGTATTATGAAATTGTGAGGTTGAGGAAAAAAAAAATACTAAAGAGAATGTGACACAACAAAAGGAAATAACTAATTGTTGTTTCAATTTTTTTGCACCTCAATAGTGAAATAGTGTCGGGATAGGTCAAGAAGGATGGGATAGGTCAAGAAGGATGAAACCTCTCTAATATCATGTATAAATTTAGGATGACAAAAATGGGTCAAACTCAAATATTAATTCATCCAAATAATTTATTGTATATAAAAAAACCATTACAAAAGATAAGTTAATAGTGATATAAATAACTAAGAAAATAAACATAAATTATAAATAAATTCAAATAAAATAAAATCAACAAAATCCTATATAAGACAATGTTTTATCGATCAATATATATTTAACATTATACTAACAAGACGTTGGTATAGTGATATAAGGTTTTGCTAGATTCCTAGAATGATTAAAAAATTAATGATTCGATTCCTATGAGCGACACTTGTTGGGAGAGTCAGTCACACACTCAAAAGAGATTAGTTCCTTATGCAAAAGGCAATGATACCCTTGGTAGTATAAAAACACATTCTTCTCTTAATCCAAATTGATTAATAATTTAACACTTAAAAACAAGATAAAAAATAAATCAAAATAATGTTAATTCATGACAGTTATTCAAGAATGTAGTCTCATGTGACTTATATGTCTTTAGTATGATATTAGTTTGAAAATTAAAGTCTTCCATATTACACTAATTTGGGAAAAGAATAAAGATTTGTTGTCCTAAATATTATATTATGTCAATAAAAATATATTATGTAAACTAATTTTTTTAAATATTCATTATTATTATTATTATTTTTACTTCATTACATTACCACAAAACTTGATAAACTTTTGCCCAACAAATCTTTATTCAAGAAAAGGATCCTACCATAAAGGATGATTATAGTTCCTTAAAGTCTACCTTATTATTACTTATGTTTGCCATTACAAGTTACCAGGTTTGAAATTTTCTAACTAGGCAATTATATCTTACATAATAACACTTTGACATGTCTTAAAAACAAACTAATATTATTATAATGTTAACTGTTGTTGGTGTACATAAACCGATTGTTTTGTAGTGATGTATATAATAAATAGAAGAGAATAAACGAGAGATTTTGATAATGAAATTTGACCAACTGTGCCTACATATTCGAGAACATTGAGCGGCTACCAAAATATTATCGAAGAATAAAGATTATAAGCTCTAATATATAATATCTATTCTAATTCTAGACAATATTCAAATCACTTATAAGCTCTAGAACATTGAGGACTCTCTTCTCTTCTAATTATAAGCTCTAAATCACCTATGAAGTTCTCACCTTTGCTTGGAGGCTTTTCCAAGATAGAATACCAACCATGGATGCTCTTGTCAAGAGAGGAGTCCCTTTGCTCAACGATGGCGATTCACTTTGTGTTTTATGCAAATCTCATCCGGAAACTGCTACTCATCTTTTCTCTTCTTGCAATTTTTCCTATTCAGTGTGGCAACTTATCTACAATTGGCTAGGTATTACTTCGGCTTTGCCATTCTCTCTACTCAACCATTACTCATCCTTCTTAGGCTTGGCAAAGAACTAGAAGTGTTGGAAACTTTGGAGTATCATTTGGATGGCTACTATTTGGGTTCTTTGGCTAGCTAGGAATGACTTCGTCTTCAACAACACAAAACCTTCTCTCCATCAAATCCTAAACTCAATTAAGGTGAAATCTTGGTTTTGGACAAAGGCTCAACTTGGGAAGGAGCCTATTCATTTTGATGACTGGACCTCTAAACCTTTAGATTGTATTCATATTGACTTGTAATTTGCTTCTCTTTTATGTTTTATAAGTATCTCTTTATTAAATAATATTATCTTTTGTCGACCAAAAAAATAATTCTAGACAATATGAGACTTAATGTAATAACACATTTCAAACTTCTCCAACATTAAGAAACAAATGGAAAGCATGCAACCCCTAAAAATGTGATTAGAATATAAACCCTATCTTTTCAAACTGGTTTGGTGAATGATAGTTACAATGTACAAATCTTCCTCCACCTTTTCTCATTTTGAAACGTAAACGTTTGCACCTCAATAGGATTTTCTATTTAGAATGATTTAAACTAATACCACAACATTGTACTTTTTGGAGTCTCAAACAAGTTTTCTATGTCACTTCTATGTACCATCAATTATAAATTGACATGTTAATTAAAGTTGCACTATAATAACTAAACAAAAGTTAAAAAAACATGAATTTGAGTTTGTAACTGGTGACACATGAAAGTGACATAGACAACTCGTGCTCATCCATTATAGCCTTGTGGTCCTAAGTGCAATTATATTGACTGCATTTTTCTCTAATTTTTAACAATTGCTAGGAACACAATGTAACTACAACCACAACTCTAATTTAAATTGTGTGTCAGCTTAAGTGAGGCTTATATAAAGATTGGTCAAATTCCTATTATAACTTGTTTGAAATAAAACTTCGGTGCTTCAAATCCAAGTTACTAGAAAGATAAGTGAAACTGAGATTGTTAAGTTTTACTAAATTTAATTTTCAATCGATAAGTGAAACTTAATTTTCCAGGAGTAATGGTTACAAGCCTAAGCAGGAATCTTTTCCTATAGTATTTTTTACATATATGAACCTCAAGATTAAATTGCTTAATAAAAAGAATAAACTTAAAAAAGTTGGGTAGGGAAAATACAAAAGGTTAACCAGAAAGATACATGTTAGGTATATTTTGACTTCAAATTTAAAGTTGAGTTTATTCAAGTGTGAAGTCCCACATTGAATATACGGGGATGAGTAAAAGACTTTATAAGTAGAAAATGTCCATAGAACTAATATCTTAAGGTTTTGGATCAAGACGTGATGTCTCACATATAACTTTTCACTCTTCCCATGCCCCGGTAACAATGGAACTTGATACTACACCCGAAGAAGAATACTGAGGAGCTTTTCTGATGTGAAAGTTCCAACTCTAAATTTAACGTGAGTAAGTAACTTAAGGAAGGAAGCCATAACAAATGGATAGAAGGATTAAGGATGAAGGAAGACTCCTTGATAATAAGAGTGCTGATTTTAATAGTAACTAAACACGATTTCATACTTAGTAAAACAAATAATACCGAGTAACAACAAGAATAGTAACTTGCAACTAGGATTTATGGAAAAACACTAATAAAAACAAGCAAATGGTAAGATCACAAACCCTGCGCTATACACTTTAGTAAATCATAAAAGTAAAGCAATGCAACAGCAACAAAAAAAACAAAGAAATCTAACATTTCACTTCTACAAAAATCTGCTACTGTTATTGCATTAAACACAGGAAAATGTCACGGATCACTATTTCTGAGAAGATAATTGATATCCAAATTTCTTCTGAAACTGGTCTCGTGATGTTCCTCTAGCTGTTAATGCAACATCATCAAGAAATCCCCTTTGCGGAAACTCTTCCGGTACGAGAGATTGATATGTTTCGAATTGCTTTGCAGCTTCTTCCTTTTTATCCAGGAGACTGTATATAATTCCCTGCAATAAAATCAAATTATTTTAATAATCACATGCTGGTGGTGGTAGTGAATTTTCTTTGAAAATTATATTAACGAAATAATAGAATTAACATATTTGGAAGTTGTAGTTGCATACATGAAAAAAGGAAAACAAAACTTTTTAAAGTCAAAGTATACTGTTATATAGATAATTGCCTCCAATTTTTCTCTACACACAGCATAACAACTAATTGACCCAACTAAATTATTCTCTAGACACAGATATTCATTGGTTTCCTGGTTGAAACGGCTGGTCCGGTCCGACTTTTAAAACCATGATATTCATTCACATTAAGAAAACGCGGTGTGCACTAACATTGTAATTTTTTTACACTGTCAGCTCATCAAACATCGTTTATATGTATGACTTTCATTATATGAATGGTGGTGAAACAGACATTGTAAAAACAGTAGCAATATTAGCACGCGCCAGTTAAACTGTTCCATATGAGTTCAGTATCAATATTACCATAATGTGTAAATGACTTTCCATAACTACTGTGCATTTGTGCTTGACTGTGCAGACAAACTCACCTGGCAAAGATACGGCCTAAAATCTCGAGGGTTTTCATCAACCAACTCTTGAAATTTTTTTAAGCCCTCCTCCAAAGCCCCCTGCAAA